CAACTAGCTACGCTCCCCGCCATGTCTATTCTCTTTCTATCCCTAATACCAAGTCTATGACTTCCCATGCGACCATACAAAAGGCCACACCATCTTGGTCTTCATACCTACGATCCCTCTTTTTGTTATGTATTGGCATATTCCTGCCATGGAAGGAGAAGGCTGTAGCTTACTCGACCAGCGCCTAGTAAAAGTAGATGCAATATTTACTTGACTACTTGTTGTGGTGATTTTCATTCTTCTGAAATTATCTGATTATGACGCAATCCGGTTAGAAATGAGTTTTAGTTCAGCCCATACTTGGGAAATTGGGGTTGGACTTTTATGTTCGATGATAGCTGCATAGTTAGAAACAATCAGTATTTATCGAAAAGGAAATTACTACCCCAGTTCACTCAAGGAATTTATGAACCGATTATCGTTGTTCACATGATGTCCTTAGAATGCCCTAAAAAAGATCTAGAGTGACTACTTTCTTTACTAATATAAATTGTGTTGCTGTAAAGTTTGATGGGCTGAAATAGTTATGTCTCGACAACAATCCTCCATCTGACTTAATTGAAAATAATATTAATATTATTGCTACTAATTATACTAACAATAATAATAAGAGTAATAGTAAGAATAATAATAAAGCAAATATTTTTCGCAGAAGTCTATCTGGTTAGGATTAGGGAACCCGGGATCTTGTCTCTTGTCGTACTTTTCCCGTCACGTCATCGTCATAAACAGATATGCGGACTATTAATGAAGGTGAAAGAAAGACAGTTTTACGAGAAGCCCCTGACACTTGTTTCGCTATGTCTCCATACTGAAATAAATCTTACCTATTATCAAGAGTAGGCTGTTGCTAAACAGCTATAGGTTAGTATAAGATAAGTATGCTTGCAGATATGAAGAGAAGTTTCTGGGTTTATCAGGTTCACAAAAATATATAAAAAAATAAAAATAAAGAGTTTAAAATAAAAGGTCATTAGCCATTGAAGGCAGATCTTTCTACTCTATTCTGATTATCTGGGGCTATAGCTTTGGTTTTGCATGTCCACATTCGCATACATGCAAATACACCCTCGTAGATTTACTAAAATATGGTTAGATAATCAAGGGAGATGTATTTATTGTGTGAGTAATACAAAAGGGCAGCACTATGCAGAAAGAAAGGTTGGGCTTCGAGGATTCAAGAATGAAATCCTTTTTGCGTTATATCTTGAACCGATAAGCGATGTCTCGAGGAGTCCGTCAGCTTGGATATCCGAGTCAAACCAAACTACAGCAAACCAATGGGACCCGCTGTTGCCTAATGGCGATATCAAGCGAGAGCCACACTTTTACTTGAAATTCAGGTAAATTCATAAAACTCCTCGTCAAGGCTGCTCGATCTCATGGCCAGTACAGGTCGTGGAAAGAACACGAGCTATAATTTTCCGAATGCGTCTGCTATTAAACCAAATTAGTCGAGGATATCAAGACTAGCGGACCGGAGAAGGGAGGTAGGAAGATGAGTGATTACCAGTTAAGCTTGATTGATAGACTTAGGGTGCTAGTGGATGTTGGCTCACTGGTAAAAGACATTCTAAATATAATCACCTGAGATAAATGCATCTTTTAGACTCACCTCAGCTGGATGTACGTTTCGGAGTATAGAATCGTAACTCTCTTTTGCTTTGGTTCATTAAACCCTAATGGCCCCGGGCTCACTTTGCCCTAGGTTGTAATTACTCAGAATTGTTTCTGGGGCTTTCGTACCTTTACTTCTACACATATGCACGCACGCACCTACATACACACACACTTTTTTCTCCAATTCTGGCTTTATGAATGACCCTCACAGTGATACATTGTTAAAAATTTGTTTTTCGACACCCCTTCCTTGCTAGTTTGCCTAATTTTGTATGCCGAAAGCTGGCAAATAAAGTAATTCTAAATTTAAAAAATGCATCATTTATTAATCTGATATTTACTCAAGCCTAGACGATAATTGTTCTCAAGCAATATTTGCTTAATCGAAGGTATGAAGACCAAGATGGTGTGGCCTTTTGTATGGTTGCGATCTCCCTTCATTGTATGGTAGGTGTTTTTCTTTGTTTTCGCAGCAAGACCTAGAGGAACCCATCTAGTCCGGAGTCCATAGAATGCATGATAATTTCCGGAGTCGGACTGTGGACGTGGTACATTTCCAGACGTTTCGCCGGCATCGTCAGTGAGCTTTGCCAGTCTTACCACCACACTACTACTCGTCAAAGAGACAAGTAAAGTCTATCCTTTGATCAATTGTCTGCTAAACAATCGTGGTATCTTTTCTTCCACCCTGGGCTAATCACCAATCCTATATCTTCGTATCACGCCTTCGCTATCACAAGTTTTTACTTGCTTATTGAAATGTGGTATGGTGTGTCCTTTTCTGCGGATTTCATGAGACCTATTCACACCCTACACTGGCTTTCTCACACACACACACCCTTGTGCTAGGAAGGCTGATCTGAGTCTGCCATATGAGTCAGCAATCCTCTTACCATATATCCTATCAGAGTCTTGTGGAATAGCTACTGTGTCTCTGATGTCAGCGTTTGAAATTTTTATATAATATTAAATAACTGGAGACGCATCAGTTCAAAGAACACAGAGTAGGTTTGCAAGAGCCAAGCTAAAGTATGTGTTATAAAGAAATCCAAGATTTTATAGAAATTAAATATACTAAATTGACCGAAGGAAAAATGCTAAATAAGAACCTACATTTGTGGAATGTTTGCGTTAAGCAGGTTGAAGGTCCTAATAACGATTGTTTTATGTATCCAAATTTGCTTAATCCACATTCGAAAAAAAATACTTTCTTAGTTTTCTCCATACGAAATCTGCTCTATTGTGTTTTGCTTCAAAATTACACATATTTATTCTAGTTTTTAAGAATTGTGCATTTTTATTACCTCCATAATAACATTGCATTACCAGCAATATCGTAGTTGACTCAACAGTGTGGTTTAGGCCTATGCTACTACGGGAGGAAACATGACAAATTGGATTAAAGATATGAACACCAAAATGTTGTGGCCTCTGATATGGTCGCAGTCTCCTATCCATTTATAAAAGTGGGTTGACCTCGTAGCCGCAACTTGGTCTTGTTGTCAGGGTGACTTAGTGGAACGCACCTAGTCCGAAGATGTCTATCATAGTAGTGCACACACACACATATATATATATATATATAAGAATGATACCCTTCTCTAACGATGGCAGAGGAAATCCTGGCTTATTTTCACATAAATCTAAGGAGATCACCTCATGGACAACTTCAACAAGGTTTAAAAAACGCAGCCAAGGGCTGGACAAACGGAATTCGCTTCTGAATCCCTTTATCACGCCCTATATGTTAAACTTGAATATCAAGATATTTCTCAAAACCAAACTTTTCTCGGCATATATTACGTAATATAGGCGGATAAAAGTTGAGCTTCGAGAAATCTCTTGTTTCATAATTGTTGAGTTTACTTCCATTTCGAGTGAAAGTGTTCGATGAAGAGATTCGAATGTCGGTTTCACGACGGCGGATTCCTCTTGATCAGCTGTCGATTGGCTTTACTGGAAGATTCATGCTGATGCTGTTTCCGAGGTTATCTCATTCGATTCCGGTAAAAAGGTGCTAAGCGTTCGTCCTGATGACGAACATCATCAGAGCAAGGTATCATCGTCACAACAAAATGCAAGCTAACGAGTTTAGTCAGTTTTCTTGATACGTTCGCTTGAATTTGGTTGTGACGATGATACTTTGATCTGATCATGTTCATCATATGACGGACAAAAGCTTAGCACTTTTTCATCGGAATCAAAGGAGATTAACTCGGAAACAGCGTCAGCATGAATCTTCCAGTAAAGCCAATCGACAGCTGGTCAAGAGGAATCCGCCGTTGTCTTCTGGTGGAAGCGACCTTCGAATCTCTTTACCCAACCCTCTCACTCGAAATGGATGTAAGTTCAACATATATTACTTTCTTATAATATAAATTCTTGTCACCTTTCTGCTGACTGCACGAAGGCCATGAAAATCTAAAATCGGCATTGTAATAATATTCTATTTTTAGTCCATTCTATTCCATGTAATGTTGCACTTTGGTTTTTTCCTCTTCCTTGCCCAGTTTTACCTTGTTCCACTGATAGGGAACTGGATCAGGTATCGAACGGCTTGATTACGATTTGACTAAAGGCAAGAAATTACAAATTACATTATCTGATTTTTTCTGATATCCTCTCAGGCAGATTTTTGTGAACTCCGAAATCTCTTTCAAGGTTCACTGGAAATGATGGTTAAACTTCATAGGTACCATGATTTTTGAATCAGCATTTCGATTTCGTCATGCCAGACACACGTATGGCCAATTCGATGAGCACTTTAGTGTGACTAGACAAATGTTCTGAAGGGTCGCCATCCATTTTTCTAACAATCAGGCAAAAATAGTTCTAATTTAGCCAACCGCTTCTATTCATGACGTTTACTGCATTTCCCGACAGGCTGATTTCAATGCTCGCCCCAACTTTTCCTTGAATACAACTCATGACTTTATCTGGAATACGTAGAAATTCGATACTATTTCAAGATAGCTTAGTGGATTTTGCCCCCGATTAAGCTCTATAGATGCATTCTACCGGAAATTTTCCGTTCTTTCAGGCCGGCTCCAGGCAACGCTTAATGCAACAAAAAGACCTCGACTTTGTGGGACACAAGCAAGAACTAGAACAGATTAAGCTGTCACAGGACTCTGTCTCTTTCGACCTTGACGAATGGCTGGCGGCCAGTCTGCCTGGCTCTTTGGCTTCTGCCCAGAAGATACCATTTCTCCAGTCGGGCCGAGAGGTTGAAGCGCCTTCTACTTCATGCTCCCCGTCCTCCCAGCAACTGGTGCCACATTCGCCACGATCCCCGTACCACCAGCCACCCGGTCACTTGGAGCCGGCGCAAACTCGTCCATTCAATGAATCCGCGCTACGATACGACGAAAGCGCCTTTTCACAGCCGTCAACGCCCGGCGGCAGCGTCAAGAAGCGCTCCGCCAATTTTGGATGCTGCCCGGAACCACGAAGGCCAAGGAGCATTCGAAGTGTCAGGAGGACTGTCGTCTCGGCGACCAGTTTATCCTTGTCCTCGTCCGCCGGTTGCCAAGCCCCCGGCAATACAACAAGCCGAGGCCTTGGCGAGCTAGAGAGTGGGCTTCCCGAAGGGGGCAGTGATAAGCGGTTTCTTTTGGCAAAGCAGACTGGCGAACTTGTGAAATAGAGAGAAGAGGAGGAGGAACGTGAGCAGTAGCTGGGAGTTAAGCAGAAAAAACTCGGCTTAGATTAGTTAGAGGGATTTTTTGACTCAAATTCTTTCACTCTCTCTCCCTCTTCACATATATATATATATATATATAAATATAACGATCTTATCTATCTGCTTCTTTCTCTTCCTATATATGTTTATCTTCTCTTCTCACTCCTTAGTTCTCTATCCATCACTACATACATGTATGCACATCTTTTGTTCCTTTCTCTTTGTCTATCTTTCTCTTTATCTCTCTCTCTCTCTCTCTCTATAT